ATGGATATACTTTTGGAACTCCCCATATTCGACAAAGAATTATTGCATTTAAACACCAAAGAAATGAGATTGTTCAGCTTTGAGAAGGAATGCCTTGAATACGTTCTTCTTCGGTCATAATGCGCCGAAGGAGCGTCCATGGCGAATTTGTCCGAAGGGCAAAGTCGCTAGTAAAGAATAACTCTCGTTTCACGAAGATGTTGAAGCCAGTATTCGAACGCAAATGTCGGTTTCTTTTTCTCAAACGGTGTTTTGTATCGCAATTGATGACAATCGAGAAATCTCTGAGTATTTGGACTAGAAAAATTCCCATGAGGAAAAGCTTAAAATGGTGAATCAGTTGAACGATGGCACATCAAGGAGTATCCAATGAAATTATTAGCGAATTTACTTACGAATCTGCCTCTGCACTCGTTCCTTTCTTTTCTTTCCGGGTTTACTCTAGGAATTCAGCCTGTCCAAATATACTTTGGGTCGCGCGGTACGTTAGCAGGGAAATCGTAAAGAGGATACTTTTTTTTCTTTAGGTACACGGGACTTTACGTCCTAGGTTCACAGATTTACCAGTAAAGTACCTAGTATTTACTAGTAAAAGATTTACCAGTAAAGAGTATATCTATATTTTAGAGTGGGAACTTTTCAGCACGCAATAGTTTGCGGATCAGTTCCTAGTTCTATTCCCCCAAATTCTAAAGTTCGTCCCAGGTTATTAGAGGCTCTCCGGATATGGAACAATTCAAAGATGCGCCAGTCCCTTGGTTCCAAAACTTCGCATGCTTAATCATTGTATGGCCTGGAAAAATGCATGCTTATGGCACCAAAATATGCGAAATAGCATCGGGATCGCGTCAGGCCGACGATGCACCGTTGCGACCGGCCCTTCCTGTCTGAATCTAAGAATCGCCATCCCCATCGAACGAGTGGAGATTCCAAAAGGGGAATCCTTCGGGGAAAGCGGCGGACCCCCGCATCACCCTCCCCCGCCCGCCTCTCAAGAAGGCCCCGTCCTCCTCCGGGACCCCCGCCGTGCTCCGCGTCGAGTGGGTCGCCAAGCGACGCGGGTCCCGAGTGAGATTCAGCCGATCTCGCGACTTGCGTCGGGTAGCGGCTCTCTCCGTCGTGATCCGGTTCGGCATTTGCATCATTTCTAACATTCCAGAGATAATTGACTTATACAATTTGAAAATAATATGTATTCATAGCATTTGAAGGATAATTTGTATTTCACGAAGATGCTGCAGTCTGTATTTGAACACTGATGCGGTTGCATCTGCTTGAAAGAGCTTTCGAGATCGAGGCTAAACGATCGAGAAACCTGAATACTGAAGATTAAGGAATATTAAGATTAGGAATTAAGAAAAAGCTCTAGGCGATAAATCAATTCAACGACGGGGCAGCAAGGGATTGTCCCATGAAATTATCAGCGAATTTACTGACGAATATGGATTTGCATTCCTTCATTTTGGTTTTCGCAGCATTTTCGTTTATTTAAAGAATCCTGTCAGAATCGGATTTTTGGACAGGTCCACTGATAATTATTTAGGAGGCAATCGTTTTCCTGGGTTGGGACCTTCTCTCCACGCGATCGTTCGTGAGTTTCGGTTCCAACGTCTCCAGTCATGCGGCGAATCCCCAAGTCAGTCCTAGATCACAATTTTTGCGAACAACCTTCGATGGTTGTGCGTATACCTGCATACCCTTTTCGCGTTGCTATTCCGAAGCTGTCGCTTATTTTGATGATTCCGATGCCTTAACGCCAATACGGATCATTTTTCTTCCGTTGACTGTCTAGACCCTGAATTTAATTCCGCCCGAAATCGTCAGTAATCGAAAATGCTAGCAATTCTTCTCATCGCAATCGTCGCCCTGGCTTCCGCAAATGGTGAGTCTCAACTTCAACCAATAAATTGCTCAGAAATAATTTAAATAAATAAAAAACAGTTGTATTTCGTTTTCGACTGTATGAACCAATCCGTAGAGGTAACGTAATGGAGGTAATGTAATAGAGTGAAAAATGTACCCAGTAAATCCCGTCCGGCTTGACATAGTCGAGAGTAGTAAGTTAGGTCTGTTGGATGAATTTCCTCGCCGGAAATCGAAGTTTACAATCCTGTGAGCATCGGAAATAAGCTACATAATAGATGCAGTAATGAGGATCAACAGAATGAATCCTGCTCTCCCCTCAGCCGCTGGGACGTGCCCGGCGATCAATGAAAAACGCTGCCCGAGGTTTGCCCCGAGGGCGTGCACCAACGACACGGACTGCACGCTGGGTCAGGTCTGCTGCCAGGGGTGTGACGCGAAGAAGGTCTGCGTGAGAGCCGGTACGGAACCAAATTCTCCACCTAGCTCACCTACCCTTGCATTTGCATTAGTTTTATAGTCTGAAGAGAAATTGTGGAGAATCGATTACTCGGTGATTTCCCGCTCTACTTTTCCCCGCAAATTGGAAAGATGGAGAGGGAAGGGTCTGCCGTTTCTCGCCGAAAGTCTTGTGATTTTTCTCAGAAAGGCTTTAAACGCGGCATCTCTGTATGTTGCAGATAACAATGAATGCCCGAAAACAGAGGATATGCAGTGCTCAACCGTGTGTTCCAGCGATTCGGACTGCCAGAACGGAACTCTCTGCTGCGACGAATGCAACCGCAAGATCTGCATGCCACCCAGTATGGTCTAGGATAGCTTTCGCCCCATCTAATCCATGTTTCTCCCATCGCACATTCCAAAGTCTGATATGCACAGGGTGATCACATGAAACCTTCACAGCTAAGAATAAGCCTAAGAATCGAAAAGGGGGTAATATCATTGGAAACGGTTTCCTGCATATTGTTAAGCAACTCAAGAAGTTTATTACAGCAGATTTTTTTAGTTCCCGGCAGGTGATTGAACAACCCTAAAACCCGAAAACGGCGACACCACAGGAAAAGGCGTCGTGCGTAGCGTGCTTCATTAAAACAAAATCGGATATTTAGGTGCAACGTCATTCTCGAGCGAAATGCCAAAGGACACCTTGTGTAGCACCTTCTGCACAGTTGATTGTGGTATTTGCAATTCCTGAGCACACTTACGGGCGGTTTTCTGAGGACTACGCAAAAAAGATTGTCGGATCCGTTCCACATCTTCGGCACTTGTGCTTGCACGCTGCTGTAGGACACTTCCGGTCTCCATGAACTTCTTATGCCAATCACGTCTAAACGGTGTACACGGTGGCGTCATTTGGCATTTCGTTTGAAAATTACGTTGCACCTGAACGTCCGATTTTTTTTGCAATGAACCATGCTACGCACTGCGCCTTTTCCAGCGGTGTCGTCATTTTCAGGTTTTGGGGTGTTCAATCACCTGCAGTCACCTGGAACACAAAAAACTGCTGTAGTAAGCTTCTTGAGTTGCTTAAAAACATGCAGAAATCCGCGGCAAATGATATTACCCCATTCAAAAGTCGGGCTTATTCGGAGTTGTAATGGTTTCATGCGATGACCTTGTACGTATTTTTTTAACAGGCGATAAATAGCTGNTTTTTGCGAACAACCTTCGATGGTTGTGCGTATACCTGCATACCCTTTTCGCGTTGCTATTCCGAAGCTGTCGCTTATTTTGATGATTCCGATGCCTTAACGCCAATACGGATCATTTTTCTTCCGTTGACTGTCTAGACCCTGAATTTAATTCCGCCCGAAATCGTCAGTAATCGAAAATGCTAGCAATTCTTCTCATCGCAATCGTCGCCCTGGCTTCTGCAAATGGTGAGTCTCAACTTCAATCAATAAATTGCTCAGAAATAATTTAAATGATAAAAAAAACAGTTGTGTTTCGTTTTCGACTGTATGAACCAATACGTAGAGGTAACGTAATGGAGCAGAGTGAAAAATGTACCCAGTAAATCCTGTCCGGCTTGACATAGTCGAGAGTAGTAAGTTAGGTTTGTTGGATGTTTACAATCCTGTGAGCATCGGAAATAAGCTACATAATAGATGCAGTAATGACGATGAACAGAATGAATCCTGCTCTCCCCTCAGCCGCTGGGACGTGCCCGGCGATCAATGAAAAACGCTGCCCGAGGTTTGCCCCGAGGGCGTGCACCAACGACACGGACTGTACGCTGGGTCAGGTCTGCTGCCAGGGGTGCGATGCGAAGAAGGTCTGCGTGAGAGCCGGTACGAACCCGATTCTCCACCTAGCTCACCTACCCTTGCATTTGCATTAGTTTTATAGTCTGAAGAGAAATTGTGGAGAATCGATTACTCGGTGATTTCCCGCTCTACTTTTCCCCGCAAATTGGAAAGATACTCTCCCTTCCCAGACGGCAAAGAGCGGCTTTCAGAACACTAAAAAGAGTCTTTCCGAAATTTGCGCCGTAGAGACATACAACGTCTATTGTTACTTACGGGCTTTTGTCTCCTATACGTCACGAGTACCGTGTGTTCCAGCGATTCGGACTGCCAGAACGGAACTCTCTGCTGCGACGAATGCAACCGCAAGATCTGCATGCCACCCAGTATGGTCTAGGATAGCTTTCGCCCCATCTAATCCATGTTTCTCCCATCGCACATTCCAAAGTCTGATATGCACAGGGTGATCACATGAAACCTTCACAGCTAAGAATAAGCCTAAGAATCGAAAAGGGGGTAATATCATTGGAAACGGTTTCCTGCATATTGTTAAGCAACTCAAGAAGTTTATTACAGCAGATTTTTTTAGTTCCCGGCAGGTGATTGAACAACCCTAAAACCCGAAAACGGCGACACCACAGGAAAAGGCGTCGTGCGTAGCGTGCTTCATTAAAACAAAATCGGATATTTAGGTGCAACGTCATTCTCGAGCGAAATGCCAAAGGACACCTTGTGTAGCACCTTCTGCACAGTTGATTGTGGTATTTGCAATTCCTGAGCACACTTACGGGCGGTTTTCTGAGGACTACGCAAAAAAGATTGTCGGATCCGTTCCACATCTTCGGCACTTGTGCTTGCACGCTGCTGTAGGACACTTCCGGTCTCCATGAACTTCTTATGCCAATCACGTCTAAACGGTGTACACGGTGGCGTCATTTGGCATTTCGTTTGAAAATTACGTTGCACCTGAACGTCCGATTTTTTTTGCAATGAACCATGCTACGCACTGCGCCTTTTCCAGCGGTGTCGTCATTTTCAGGTTTTGGGGTGTTCAATCACCTGCAGTCACCTGGAACACAAAAAACTGCTGTAGTAAGCTTCTTGAGTTGCTTAAAAACATGCAGAAATCCGCGGCAAATGATATTACCCCATTCAAAAGTTGGGCTTATTCGGAGTTGTAATGGTTTCATGCGATGACCTTGTACGTATTTTTTTAACAGGCGATAAATAGCTGCTAGTCTTAGGTCGCGCAATGCTAATAATTGTTAACTTATTAAAATCAATTTTTTTTTCAAGTAAATCCAGTAAAATGGAGATCGTATGGCAGTGCCAATTAGATGTCCACCTAAATGACGGTGTGAAGTGTGACATCTTCAATTATTTCCGCAGTGACGACCTGCAACGATACGACCTGCGCCAGCGGCCAGACTTGCGCGATGGTCCGCCCCACCTGCAACCGTCAAAGCACCACCTGCTACCTCAAGCCAACCTGTCTCGCTGCAGGTAAGCGGTCAGTCGCCGGCGGGTCATCCGCCCAAACGGTCCTCGGGACCCTCAGCGAGGTATTTCGCTTAATCTTGTTTCTCCGAAGGTGTGAGTACGTGCGATGGCGTACAATGCCGGAGGGATCGCGTGTGCGTGCTGCAAGAGGTGAGGAACTGCAATGCCCCGCCGTGTAACCCTACTACTAGGTGTGTCAGACCTCGAAATGCTCAGCAACGGCCGCAAAAGTCCGTTAAACGTCAATAACTGGTCAAAATTAGAGCGTGATCTTTCCCTTTCCTATTCCGTTTCGAATTCTGAACAATCTTCCCAAATTCTCGCTGAAATCGACTCACATACAACATTTAATTTCCTTCTTGCAAGCTGCGAATTTCATTATTCACAAATCAAACTCAACACGAACCGCATAACGAAATAAATCCCTGCTTTGCACTCTCAACTACTGTGATCATTTCGACGAGCCGGACAGATCGACGGACGAGATCCATCCGACTGATGAATCAAGGGAAATCCCGTCACCAGCCTCCCAGGTTTGAACCTGGGCGGTTGGAGCGGCACGGGCTCACACGGCCTATCGTCACTGCCGAATAAGTGATGAGCTAATAGTATCAAACTTGGTTACTCGGATCTGCAAAAGAATGTTGGAGGCTGTCCGAAAATTTGATCGCAAATTTCACGTATCTCGGTAAGTTGTCCAGTGATGCCAACGCATCGAGGGAGGAAACGAATGATTAAGCAAATAAACAATTTGTTCCGTATTTCAGTCTTCCCCTCTGCCATCTTACCTCATAGCATTTAAATACTGTGCCTGTATGCAGTCTGGAGACGTTGGGTGCTGATGCCGAATGCTTCGGTAAAAGTCGGAAATTATGGAGTGTTGAATGAAGCTATTGCAGGGAATGGTTAGTCTAGTTCTATGACGAGCCAGGAAAGGGTTCCTTTGAGAGCGTTTAGCTATTAAGCCTAAACGTTCCTGAAATATATACCTTTTTTTTTAATCAGGATTTGTTCAAAGTTATTTACATTTCTGGGAAGGATTGCGACGAAATTTTCATAAAAGATGAAAAGTGGGAATGCGAAAAAAATGACTTCAATATGTACAAAGGCGATCACAGTAAAGAACCGCAGTAAATAATCAAATTTGATCGAGCGATTCTGTGTCGATAGAGGGAGAAGTAGCGAAATTTCGATCCTGTTGATGCTCTCAGAGAGGAATATGTGACCGTTGAATTTTGTTGTCGGAAGAGATTGAAGAAACGTAACGGTAAAAATAGCGGCTGCTCCTTCGGAGGAGATTCTCAGGGCGTAAGAGCTGGATGGAAGCTCGCCTGCCTCGTGAGTGCCTCCCCGTCGCCTCTCGCCGAAGTCCCCTTCGTGGCAATGGTTCGCAAGTGGTGGTGCGCATGCGCTGCTTCATCTAATCGCGTATCCGAGTTCTTCTTGTGCCTTCCTTTTGTTACGATTGAAATCGACGAGGTTTTTGATCGGATCGCTCTCGATAGCAATCACATATTCATATGTGACACAATGTTACAAAATTGTTCACGTTCTGATTCACTCGACTGCGAGCAGGTGTCAGTTTCTCAAGTTCGAAGGATGTGAGACCCGAAGACACGAAATGGGGAAACTACAAGAAGGAAAAGACCAAATAGGAATCGTCAGACCGACAATGCGTTATTGCGACGGCAAAATTCCTGCATGATTCGGAGAATCGCATCCGACCTCTTTTCCCTCTCTCCTCCTCCTTCGAAGAGGGGACGTCCTTCCCCTCCCGCCTGCCCTCGGAAAGGACCCCGTAGTCCCACGGGCCCCCGGCGTCGAGTGGGTCGGGAGGTGTCGTGGGTCACCAGTGAGTTGCCGCCGATTTCGCGGCTCTTGCCGGGAAGCGGCCGCCTCCTCCGTGAGTCGGCCTGCGTTTGCATCATGTCTGAAACTTCAAATTCCATTCACATTCAACAATTCAGTGAATTATCATGTCGTGTAAAATAATATTTTAATTAATATTGTAAGAATAACTCATTTTACGAAGATGTCGCAGGCAGTATTCGAACGCAAATGTCGCTTTCTTATTCATGAAGGAGCCTTCCTTTCAAAATTGATGATGATCGAGAAATCTCCGAGCATTGGGAACAGGAAAATTCCTCTAGAAGGGAAAGTCGAACTGATTCACCGTTTTGAAAACGGTGCATCAGTTCGACGACGGGACAACAAGTTGTGTCCTATCTCAGCAAATTTACCTACGAATGTTGATCTGCCGCCGCAATCCTTCCCTTAAGTTTTTCGGCATTTACAATAGGAATTCAGCCGGTCCGAATACATTTTGGGTCGCGCAGGCCGTCCGTAGGAAAGCGGCCAGAAGAATAAGTGTTTTACTTTCAAGGCACTCAACGTCCTAGGTTCACAGATGAAACACTTGAGAGATAGTCGATATTTTGGAGCGGGAACCTTTAAGCACGCAATAGTTTGTGAATCAGTTAATAGTTCTAATGATGATTATGAATCTAATGTTTTATTATGAACTTTCGCTCGTTAACGTAGTGCATATGCCTACATACCCGCAACCTCAATCAGGTTACTTAGTACGATTTCGATAGTATCGTTTATCTCCATGTCTCGTGATATCTCCAAAAATATAGATCGACGTAAATCCGGATCGTTCTCCTTCAATTGACTGTCTAGACCGTGAATTTTGTTTCCTCTAAAATTGTGAGTAATCGAAAATGCTTGCAATTCTTCTCATCGCAATCGTCTCCCTGGCCTCCGCAAATGGTGAGTCTCCACTCCGACTAAGGATTTGCACAGATTATTTCTTATCCAGGCGTATTTCATTCTCGACAATACGTGCCAATATGTAAAGGTAACTTCATGATACCGAAGTAGAAGAGTATCCAGTAAATCCGGCCCGACTTGACGTAGTCGAGAGCCATCCTAATTCAGATTTTTTGGATGCGTTTTACCACCGGAAACCCTGGCGCACATCCCTGTGGGAATAGAAAATAAGCTCCTCCTAAGAGGTAATACAGGCAATTAACATCTCTATTGAGCATGGGTGTCGCATTCTCTCGCATCAAAACTACCAAGCTCGGTACCGAAGTACTGCACCCAGGCGTTTTCTCCCCCTCAGCCGCAGGGACGTGCCCGGCGAACAACGGACGAACCTGCCGGAGGCCAGCCCCAAGGACGTGCAATAGCAACGCGGACTGCGCGCAAGGTGGCGTCTGCTGTCAGGGGTGCGGGACGAACAAGGTCTGCATGAGAGCCGGTACGGTCCCAGTTCTCCAATCTTATTTTCCCCGTTTTTATCGATTGAAGAAGTATTGAAGAAAATCGATTAATTGAAGGTTTTCCGTCCTACTTTTCCCACTAAGTGTGAATATAGCGAGGAAAGGATCTGCGTTTTCTCGCCAAAGTTCTTACGGTCTTTCTCAGAAATGCCTGAAATTTATTATTATATTTACATTATATTTATATTTCACAGCTAACAATGACTGCCCGAAAACCGAGGACATTCATTGCCCAACGGTGTGTTCCAGCGATTCAGACTGCCAGAACGGCCTTCTCTGCTGCGACGAATGCAACCGCAAGATCTGCATGCCACCCTGTACGGTCTATGATCTTCGTTCTATCTAATCCACGCTTCTTCCATCGCGTACTACAAAAGCTGTTTTATTTTTTAAACAGGCAATGATTAGCTGTTATGTTCATTATCGTCCGCAGTGTTAATAATCGTTAACTCATAAAAAATCATTGTAATTGCAAGCACAATCGGGAATATGGACATATAATTGATACTGCCATTTAGATGTTCATCTGAATCACAACATGAAGTACAGCATCTTGAAATATTTTCGCAGTTTTGACCTGCAGCGACACGACCTGCGCCAGCGGCCGGACTTGCGCGATGGTCCACCCGATCTGCGATCATTTCAACGCCCCCTGCTACTTCAAGCCAACCTGCCTCCCTGCAGGTAGGCAGTCAGCCGCCGCCGGGTCATCCGCCCGGACGGTCCTCGGGACCCTCAGCGAGGGATTTCGCTTAATCTCGTTTCTCCGCAGGTGCGAGTACGTGCGAGGGCGTACGATGCGAAACGGGACGCGTGTGCATACTGCAAGAAGTGAATAATTGCACCGCCCCGCCGTGTAACCCTATTCCCACGTGTGTCAGGCCTCGAAGAGGTCAGGGTCGGCCGCGAAAGTCGATTAAACGTCATTAACGGGCCCAAATTATGGGGTAATGAAAAATTTTCGTTTTCCTTTTCCTTTCCAAAATCTGATCACTTCCAAATTCTCCCTGAAATTAACGCAAAAAATGTAATTTCCAAATTTCCATAACTAATACCGTGCACAAGCCTTGTGCTTGCAGTTTTTTCTTGTGAGTTATGGATTTCAAGTATGTTTTTTAATTCATAAATCAATTTTAACACGAATCCTATCATGAAATAAAATCCTGCCTTGTAATCTCAACTTCCATGCTTATTACTACGAGCATGAGTTTGATAGATACTCTCCTTTTGACAAGAATCAATGGAAATCAAGCATTTTAAAACTTTTCATCAACATACTGCTAGTTGGGATATTCCCATCCCTTCTTGGCCTCTCGCCGAGAAGAAAAAAGCCAGTAAAAAAATCATGCATTTCTCTGATATTGAAGAGTGTTTTCGGGATGAAATTTTCGACTCTCTATATTTAAGATGCACTTCTTTAATGAAGCCCGCAGCACTCCTCGGACTCGCAGGGAGTTCCAAATGCTTCACCTGCGAACTTCACGTTTCTTGTTCAGCTAAAACAGCATCGAGAAAATTACTACTAAAAAATTCACATCCATGAAAATACGTAGATGAATGACTGTTAACACGTGCACAGCATTAACCTCATCAATTTTTTAGCATGGAAGCATGGAAGCTGGAATATGAGCATCAAATTTCCGAAAATTAAACATGTGTTCTATGTGCTGTTTTCGGTATTTTTCCCTGGAACATGAAAAGCCGAAGTCGTTCCTCGATCGCAGAATCCGGGAACACCCGGATGTTGCATATTTTCCGGATGTTGCATATTTTCAACGAAAGAAGTTCCCCCCCCCCCGTCTTGGCATCCGCATTCCATATGCCTCCAATGTGCCCTTCATGTGCGCGTATCCCCGATTCACTTTCAGGACGCTCCGACCTCCTTCTCCTCTCAACCTTCCATTCGGCGACGCGACGAGCGACATGTCGGCCGGGGGTGACTTGTCGGCCGGGGATGACATGTCGGCCGGGGGTGACTTGCATCTCCGCCCCGTCCCCGATTGCATCGCTGTTTCTCCGCACAAAAAAGCTTAACTTTGGGAAATGCGCAGTAATTCTGATTCTGGGAGAAAGCATGAGTCCTGAGGCAATTAAAGCATATAGGAAAGGCGATTTATTTAATTATAACAAATTTCCTCACTGGAAAAACCAGTGACGACATTTTTTCTCATGAATTGAGCATGAGATGCATTTATATTTTCCCTTATTATTAGTAGTATAACCAACTTTGTAATTACACAATTGAGAATATAATTCAACTTTACATTATAAGTGAATTTCTGTCAGCTAAACGGGATACTCCGCAGATCGAGTGACCAACGTTTGACAGTTTGTGCCTTCTGTCGATTTGGAAAAATCGAAAAAAAAATCGAAATTTTGGATTCGTTTCGAAAAAAAGAAACAGAATGGCATCACGTTGCCCTCAATGAAGGGATAGAGCGTCCTGGTCAAGATTGTGGTTGAGCATGATTTGTTTATTCATCGTTTTGCTAAGTACTTCCTGAAGGACGCAATAAGACCTGGGACTCGCCTTTTTATGAGCGTCGATTGCTGCAAAAGAGCACAAATCCGCATTGGCCCAAAAATGGCATGACACAGAATATCCGCTTCGGGAGCACCAAGTCCTGAACTGAGTATATCCATCCCCCTTGCATTTTTCTAGGAAGCATTCTCAAATGGCGATAGAATACGCGATAGAATTTCGTCACATTTGGACATCGGAACCACGTGGGTTACGAGCGGGACGTTCATCCGGCGAGCCTTGGAGAAGATCTGGAGTCCATAAGGGTCGCAGGTGCGGCGGGGGCAAAGAGACGGGCCAGCCGTCGCTCCATCTCGCGTGCCGTCGCTCCTTCTCGCGTCCCATTCCCGGATCTCCCTGGCCGCCGTCGAAATCACCTGAGTCTTCGAACTTGAGCATATTTTCTCTTCAAAATTCCTACCCCCTTCCTTTCTTTCTCAAAGTACCAGCTATCTTCCTCTCGACAGGACTCAGTTCTAATGAGGGAAAAAAAAGGGAATGATTTTTCTCTCATTCTTATAAAAAAAAAAAGAACATCCCCTCGCTTCGAATTGGTGATAACCTTCATCCAGTGATGAAAAATAAAAAAATAAAGCCTCTGTATTAAATATTTCCTCCTGGTTAGTTTGAGGTTTTAATGCAAGCCATACATTTCCGTTATTCGGCAAAAAAGAGGAAACCTACCGCAAATCACGCCCATGGAATTCAAACCATGCCTCAATAAAGCACCTACGAAAATCTTCTCCAACTGTATCACTCATTCGCAAATCTCGACATTCTCTTTCGAACAGCATGCAAAAAAAACTCTGGGATTGCCTAAAGTCAGAATGTTTTGATTCCAGCGATGTAAGACAGTGCAAATCGTGACGAAATCGAATCACATCTCGTGCAGACGATGATACAAAATTTAGTTATGCCGAACGCTGCTGAGGCGAAACCCAAAAGCTGATGAATTAAATCTATTTAAAATAATGCTAGATGGACTTATCATTCTGGCTCTGTTAAGCAATTAGCTTAAAGAGTTTTTTTCCAGACCTAGAGTCATAGCGAATCTGCCTGTCGAAATTACCCAGCAGAAGCGGTGAAGTGAATTTAGAGGACGCCCGAAGGACTCCAAATCCGCAAAGACTCCAAAACAATGATTTGCAGAAGGCTGATGCCGCGTCAGGTGTTTCTCAAATCTGATCTTGGGGAAAAATAACTCTCTGGGGTCTCCAGAGGAGACAACGGAGGGATTCTCCTCATCTTACACGTCGCAGTCATAACTGGATGGGGAGAGGATTTGATGGGGAAATGAGACAAAGTAGTGATTTTTAAGTAAGTTTACGTCTCAAAGGTTCCAATTCCATGGCAAGGTCGAACTCCACAATTTTACTGCTCCTTTTGTCGTTGATGAGCCTTTACCCCCGACCACGACCGGGCTTAAACGGTGGACTCAGTGAAACGAACCCAAACTTACATCGGATTGTAACAAGAAGAAACGCGTACAAGACTCATCATGTTTCAATATTATTCTATAACCGTTGAATCATCAATAACTTCGCATGCCAATACACATTCAGCGGATAGACATGGCAAATACTTTTGTAAAAATGTCAGATAACAAAATTACAATTTTTCTCCAATAATTTTTAAAATTTCAGATCCACCCTTGCAGAGTGAAGGTCATTTTTACTTTTTTAGGTAAACTTTCTTAAGTAAACCTTTTTAAGGTTGTAGAAGTGTGAACCATCGTTCACACTTCTACAAGCTTAAAAAAGTTTACCTACATCCAAACGCCCAAGTTTACGATCAGGATTGAATGTTCTATTCCGACGAGCCTACCTTTTCTTCGTTTTCTGTTTTCTGGATGTACTCACGACCGAAGTCGTGATCTGTGACCTTAGATGGAGTGAGTGATGGACATTTGACCTGCCTCGATCCGCCTGTCTCCCGAAGCTGAGGAGTCCCGATTTTCATCGCGAAATGCCTTTCTCCGCATGAAAAAACTCCGAAACGATTTTCAGGGTTTTTATTTCAACAACATGGCTATTCGAACACGGAAGACTCACTAATACAGTATCTCATAAAGCTGCTAAGGCATGCAAATTTCGAAGGAACGAGAAAAAATTTTTTTGCTTAATCAATGCATCTCTGCCATTCTCCCTTTGATTCCTTGGTGGTGAAAATTATCCCTGCATCAATTCTCATCAATAACAACGATTCTCCATCAGGAATGTGTGTCGAGCTCATCTGGTCTGCCCTAATTTCCCAAGAAAAATTACAACCCTACCCTTCATTGCGGAAGTCCAATTACTTCTCGATTATAGCTAATGTCTAATCCGCTCTCGTGAGAGGGCAGAGAACAAATTCCACATTTCTGAGGACGCACGAAAAGAAAATTGAAGCTTCCCAGCCAACGGCAGCCTCCCTCCGCTCATACTTGCCTTCCCCTTCCATCGCGCCGTCAATTCCTGCCACCGATGTTCTCGATTGGGTTTGGATGCGTGCATCCCCTGCTCTGGCTTCAGCTGCTATGTCTCCTCCCGTTTCTTCTGCTATTGGTGTTTCCTTTTCAATAAAATCGGTTGGAAATGTGAGGTTTTCCTTACATCCTTCTTGCCGGAAAAAATGGCATACAAGCTACATATCTTTCATTTCTTGTACTCTAAGGTTTCTTCTAGACTAACCGGTGAAGCATATCTCGACTAGACTGTGCTAAATACGTTCCTATCGCAGTATATGCTTTCAAACCATTTCAGGCTTTCGCCTGAAATGGTTTGGAAAGCTTCTAAAGGATGACTAAGGATGAAAAATTCCACATGGCATCATTCTCTATGGAGATCTCCATTTTCTTCGTAGCTGTGATGTCATGGCAATGGAAAGCATGATCTTTTTGCACGAATCAATTATATTGAGGAAGTCACAGCCATACAATTGCAAGTGAAGTGAAAGACTCTCAGACGTGATTTAGGTGCCATCCCTGTTCTTTATTGGATCTGTAGAGGTTATTCGAACTGGAATTCGCCAAGGAACCCACCCAATTAGACCGACTTTTTGCAGACGTACGAAGGGAACCGATTTGTACAAAATCTGATTTTGTACAAAATGGACTGACTTGTATAAAATCAGTCCCGTGATGGCATCATCATCACGGCGCATTCGCCGTGGGATTCCCCTCTTCCCACCGGTCCACGTCGAACGGGGAGCTGTCCGCCCATTCCCCGTCGCCTGATACTCGCTTCAGTCCGATGAAAAACTCCTTCCGTTTTGGCAGGGGTTGCGGGAATCGATAATCGTATTCGAAAGTGATAACCGCCCGTATATGCTTCAATTCGTTGCCTCCAATGAAAAAAGAGATATCAGCTCCGGGGAATTCCCAGCAGTGAGATCTGGCTGCGTCGAAGTCCAAGGATCGCGATGAGATAAGAAAGCAAGGGTTGACGATGCCCGGGTCTTCGTAACAGTCGGTTAGGAGCGGTCCTAGCCATGACAATGCTACACGAGTGACTATTGTCCGGCCCAAAGGCTCGTCAGCGACAAGAGAGAGGCTAGCCATTAGCAAGCCGCAGGGTAGCTCTTCAACTTCAGAGTACTAACGGCCTTGTAGTGAAGACTTGACTGTTGGGCCTCGCAGTCTCTTTGGGCATCGTCGAAGGTCATTTCCGCAAACGAGAAAAAGGAGAAAATCCTTTTCATCCTTCCTCGCTTTTCAAGGCCGTCAGATACGCCAGACTGAATAGGAATCCACGCTGATCATCCGCGTCCGAAATCAAAGTGTTTTCGCGGCGATTCCCAAAGGATTCGATGATGCTGGGGTGATCTCGTTGGACTCGCCCTTGGGGTCGTCGGAGGCTAAGAAGTCGCCGAAGATGCAATCTTCAGAATCTTCGATATCGAGGCCTCGATCCTCGGAATTTTCCCGGACTCGATCTTTAGAATCCTCAATAGACCGGTGCCCATAGGGACCGGCAACGATCGATAGGAATGAGATCAGAATCTATGCTATCTATCAATCAGATATCATCTAATCTCTCTATCAGAGTCTATAAATCAGAATCTATCATCGGTACAGCCACACCCAGAATCATTACCACAAACGAATTCTTCCACAACCATTACAAACGCCACATTTCCTTCGACTCAGTGCACAAAATGAAAAAACAAACCCTTTCCAGACCCAACAGTTGAGGCATACCAAGAACCAGCAGCCGAAATGGCGGGAGCGGAGTCGAATGCCGACCGCAACAAAGCTCCCAAATGATCTATGAAATGCTGGTAATTGCGACTTAATAGGATGCTTTTGTCGCATTTCTAAGCCAATTGTTTGCATTCAGTGTAATTCGGTGCCTATGACAGATTAGCCATCATACGTGTTACGTAAGATAGGAAACTGTACATCGAAGAGGATTAGGTCAAGACCCTATGTCGAGGAGTGGAATCGCGTCAAGAAACGTCATCGAATCCATAGCATAGATCAGTAATAATACGATAAGGTTCATGAGCCAAAGAGGCAAAGAGTTATGAGCCCAAT